GTACATTTTGACGTTTCGTTGAGCTGTGGTGCCACCTTTCCTACATTTTAATAAAATGGAAATGTGCGATGTCGATCATCGTAACAACTGCGTTAGAGAATCGCATAATCGTTAGCGCAAGCGACAAAATTCGTAACTTTGCGATCCGACAAATCGTGTCGAAAAAAGTTACAGAATTGCACTGCAGTTGTTATGATAATCGACATGGCACATTTCCATTTTATTAAAATGTAGGAAAGGTGGCACCGCTGCTTATCGAAACGTCAAAATGTACGAAAAACACAAAGAGGAATGACAAAAACATATAAATTCGTTATTCCAAATTAGTAAGTACAAATTTTTCCGCTGGCTTTTGAATATATTTTTGAAAAATGTAAGTAAAATGAAACGTTTATTAGTTTTTGTATTATTAGACATGCCTTACTGTGAGTATAATTCTAGAATGGCTACGACAAAAAGAAACCGAGCTACCTTCGCCGAAAACATCGAACGGTTGATTGCGTCTGTTACGCGATGAATGCAACGGTTTACTGACGACTGACCCATGGATATCCCCATTGCTCTCCGCCGGGACGTTGACAGCATCCAGTTGCAAAAAAATCGCAAGGCGGTTAGAACCTTTACAAGTTTTAATAGTGTTAAGACTAAAAAAATATATTATTACCTGTTTCTCCGTAGACAGTGCTGTTATTCTTCTTTCTTTTAGTTGACAATCTAGTTGAGAAACGATTTCTTCTTAATCTATATAGCTGCCGAAACTCGGTAGCATCCAAATGAAAAGGATCTTCCGCTTCTCGACGCAAACTTCTATTCAATGATGAAGATTAGGATACCTCTTGATCTTGTGATAAATCGTATGCCAAATATTCAAAACCATTTCTTTTATTTTTTTATTTTTATTTTTGTATAACTTTGACAATTTCCCGGACAATTTACTCTCTTAAATGAAATAACAAAATTTTGTCGATATCGCTAACAACTTAAAAATATTCGTCGCTTAGTTAGCGGTTTTTCGAGTAGTTTACGACAATAGCGAGAACGAATATCGTTATAACAAGTACACCGAATATTAAAATCGTTAGAATTATCGCTAAGTCTTCTTTGCGATCCGAAAATCGTTATACTAATCTTAGAGAATAACGAATATCGTTAAAAATATCGGTAAGTCTTTTTTGCGATCCGAAAATCGTTATACCGTTTTAGAGAATAGCGAATATCGTTAAAAATATCGGAAGTCTTCTTTGCGATCCGAAAATCGTTATACTGTGGTTAGAGAATGGCAAAATCGTTAAAATTATCGTTAAGTCATTATAACGATCCGATAATCGTTATAATACGATAGAGAATTGCCCTAGAGATATTCACCATGCGCCAAAACTTGGAAAAGACCCGTGAAAAGAGGATATACACACACCATCTTTTCATGGATTTTAAAGCAGCCTTCGACAACACGAGAAAGATCTGGCACAACGCCGATATGTCTGAATTTGGTATCCCAAAGAAAGGCCCGTTTCACAATAACTGATTAATTTAACCTTCAACCGGAAAATAACTTACCGTCTGATAAGCTGATGTGACATTTTCGTTTTCACCAAATTCTAGTTACTTAAGTTCTGGTTAGTTTGATCAGTGTGTATATATTAAGTTCACAAAAATTTGCATTGTGAGTACCCAAAAACTCCATGAAATCTGGTGTTTGCTTACATTTTTGCCTACAATTTTATTTTCTGTTTTTTTTTTATATTTTTTTTTAATAAAATTATAGTTTAAATAATAAATAATAAATAAAATTTAGTTTAAAGTTTTGTTGCTTCATGCACTTGTACTTCTTCTTCATCAAGATTATAATCGTTGTTGTGGATGACAATTTTGAAGAAGATATCCTGCTTTTTTCGGTTTTCTGATAAATGATGAAAAGTCGCTACAGCAATGTACACTATTTACCATCCAACTGGCAGTCGCCATTTTTATTCCGCCAAACCAGCAAAACAAAATAAAAAATTTCCCGATGCATGAAAGTATAATGTTAAGAGAAAAATTTCCGCTGCTTAAGGATTTTTGGCATCATCGATGCGTATTTAATTAAAATCGTAACAATAATCGCTGAATTGTAATTGTGTGGGGAGGTGTATATGAGCCTTAAGGGAGATTTTAAATTACACAGTTTATGGGGCTCTTAACATTTGGTTATTTTTGAGTGCAGCAACTCTGTTTTTTGTTGTTAAAAACAAAATCGAGATAAATGAGTTACTAGATATTGGTTGATTTTCATCTTACCTCGTAGGCTAAAGCCTTTTGAGCATTACTTGTTATTATAAATTTCGGCTTTGAATTGATTTACTGAGAAAAATGGAGCTCCTATAGAAATGACGTGATAACTTCGATATCAGTGCATATGTGTTGAAAAAGGCGTACAGAATTTAGAATTTTTCGTGAATATTGGTATGTTGTAATTAGCTGCTATACATGGTTACATATTGGTATGGCCGTAAAACGAATTATTATAAGTAGATAGAGGGTATTCTTGAATAATACAATAGGAAGATATTGTATCCTCGAGATTTCTTCATGATATTAAAAGTAAATGGTACCATAATTGTTACTTATATACCGGCTTTTTTTCACAAGCCCTTAATAATGTAAAGAACTTTGTGAGGCAAATTTACGTATGTACCTATGGAAATACATATGTGCATTGATGTAGTCATTCATTAGTAAACGTCAATAAAGGAATTGGAGCAATTACAAGAGTGACTTCATAGTAAAAACTTTTTTCCTTGTGAAAGTTAAAATACAAAATTAATTTGTGTGTGGCTTATGTTCTTATCAGAACCGGCATCTTCAATGTTGCATTCAATAAAGTGTTTTGGTGTTTTAAATAGAAGTACCCTTAAAATTACAATTCTAAAATAATGAAATGTGTATATAGTGTGCTAGGTAATTAGAAAAAAGAATTAGTTGGTACACATTTTTTTCAGAAATTTTTCTCTTCGTAAATAATTGACTAACATCAGATAGAACTAAATAATAGATTCATGCTATTTCGGTGTTGCATTCATAAAATTTGGTGGTATTCCAATTAAACTTACAAAGAGAAATGTATGATATAAGAAACTATTTTTTGGGAAGCAGCATGTTATCCAATTATTGCAGGTTCCCATTCATGAGTGTGATAATTAGATTAATATATTTTAATGTGAAGACAGGACAGGAAAATGGCATGCCTTACCGCTGAGAAACCTTTAACCCCTTTTCCGTAGGAGATGTTACTAATTGGTTTCGTACCTTGTATAAATAGTTTGTTGACAGTGTAAGTACATACAGTGGCTCAATAAAGAACTCGGATATACATTCCACTGTTATTAACATAGAGCTTCAAGCTAGATTTTTTTTAATCAATTAATATTAAGCATTTTTTGTTTTTATCTTTCTATAGGGTATCCAATAAGTATTTAAAAAATACCAATAACAAACAAAATAAATAGTTTACAGGTCTCCTAAACCCTGCTAGAAATTTCGCCAAAAAAAAGTCGGACATCTGGTAATTTTACAGATCTATGGCATTTTAAAGAGGGTAATCCCACAATTAGTTTGTTTTCGTTTAAAAATACATATGTATGTAATCAAACGTAATAAATTAGAATAAAATTTCAGCAGTTTTTTTTGGAAAGAAAGGTGAAAAGTTCAAACATGGGTAGACAGCGTGGACAAAGCTCAATTGAAGTATGGAAGTTAATTATTAGTCATTTTAAAATAGGAAAAACCATTCGAGAAATCGCAGAAATTGTGAGCAGACCCCTCTCGACTGTGCATGACGTGATTAAACGATTCAAACAAACAAAATCCGCGGAAAAGAAAAAGAAGTCTGGACGACCGAAGTTGTGTTCGGCTGCAGATGGGCGGTGGATAGTGCAGCAAATCAAAACAATTCCAAACACTAGCGCTCCTTAGCTCTCAACAGAAGTTTTGCAACATCTCAATATAAATTGTAATCCGGAGAGTATCCGAATAGTCTTAAGAAAAAATAATTATAATGGAAGAGTAGCTCGGATGAAGCCATTTATAAACGAGGTTAACCGAAACAAAAGGACAAAATTTTCAAAATGTCATGGGGATAGGGATTTTCAATTCTGGAAACAAGTTTTATTTGCAGATGAAAGCAAAACCAATATATTTAGGTCAGATGGACAGTCTTATGTTCAGAGAAAATCGAATGATGAGTTGCTAGAAAAGAATTTACGTCAGACTGTTAAACACAGAGGCGGCTCAGTAATGGTATGGGGTTGTATGTCCGCAGCTGGTGCGGGAAATTGTGTTTCATAAAACGTAATATGGACCACAAGCAATAAAAGACAATTTAGTGAAAAGTGCGGAAAAGTTGGGAATTAAAGACAATTTCCAGTACTACCAAGACAACGATCTCAAGCATAAAGCACTTGATGTCTGTCTATGGCTGATGTATAACTGTGCTAAAGTGCTTGAAACACCTCCTCCCGACATTTTCGTAATTGAACATCTGTGGGCTCATTTGGAAAATAAAGTGAAAACGCATGTTAAGAAGGACCTAGAAGCCGCTATTTTGGAAGAGTGGGGGAAAGTAAATTCTTTAACATGCAAGAAGCTAGTTGAATCTTTGCCAAGAAGACTGAATGCTATCAGAAAACCTAAAGGTTTGCCGACCAAATATTAAGAATATTTTGTTTCTCTTTAAATAATATTTTTAAATTCTATCTTATGTATATGCCCGATTTCTTTTTTGTCATCAGTTTTGCTAAGTCGTTATGTTCATGTTATTTTTATAGACCGAGTTGAATTTTGGTTGTTTTGAAAAATACACTTGAAGAATAGAAAAATATGTTAAACAGAAAGTCCTCGATTTGAGTTTTATTATATATATTTTTGTTTGAAGTCAAATAACTTTGGTGTCCGAGTTCATTTTTGAGCCACTGTATGTGTAAACTAAGTTTTTGTTTTGTTTTGTTCGTTGTATGTTAAGGGAATTGTTAAATTTTTTTGGTAATATTAATTATGTATGATGTACATACATATTTTTAAATTGGATTGCATTGAAAAAGAATTAATTTTATGCGAAATAGCTTAGTGAAATTTAAGTATGCCAATTCTTTGATGAAAATTAGTACTTTTTCATTTATAATTAGTATTCATTTAACATAAAAGATAATCAAATGAATTGAAGTGAAAATAGTTAAAAGTTTATCCCTCTGTCTAGCATTTGATTTTCGAAATTAAAAATGTACGCCAATATTCTTGAACAAGCACCATTAGCATTCAAAAAGTTTTTCTATAAAATTTTAATTTACACATTTTCCTTGTTTTAAAACTTGATTTACTTTGAGATTTGAATCATGACGAAACTTTCTTTACGTTATAGCAAAAGTCAAAAATTGAATGGGGTGTGCGATTGTAAATTTTTATCCTTTTAGCCTAGTCTCAAAATTTTCTAGTTATATTTTAATGATTCTTTTATCTTAATATTTTAAACGAACAATTTTTATTTATACAGTGCGGTAAGCGGCAATAACCCCCCTCATTCAAATATA